GTCGCCCTGACGTAGACCTCTTGAAGGTATAATGTTCCCTTTCGCTTCTCCATTGAGGAGGACCTGATAAGACACTGTTGAGATACACCATTTGATCCATGAGATCCATTTCTCATCGAAACCCATTTTGCGCATCAAGGCTTCTAGGAAACCCCACTCAACCCGATCATAGGCTTTACTCATATCTGTTTTAATGGCTACAAATTTTGACTTGCAGATTGGGTTTGTCCGCAGGGCATGGAATACCTCTTGTGCTACCAGAATGTTATCTGTAATAAGTCGCCGAGCTATGAAAGCTGACTGGGTCTCCGAAATAAGTTTCGGGAGAAATCTTTTAAGCCTCTTACTTAAGATTTTGGAGATTATCTTGTAGCTGACGTTACATAGACTTATCGGCCTAAACTCTGCAATTTCCGCTGGTCTTGTTGTCTTCGGGATCAAGCAGATGTTAGTCTGGTTCAGACGCGGGTTAAACCTATCCGTAGCAAAGAAATCTCTGACCACTCTGATGATATCTTTTGAGATAATTCCCAGAATTTCTGATACAGGAGACTGGTCATCCCATCTGGTCCTGGAGCTTTTTCCGGGTTTATATCAAAAATTGCGTTTTTTATTTCCTTATCAGATGGGTATCTCGTAAGAGCAGCATTAATAGCTGGCGAGACTTGCGCGGTAACATACCGGAGGGCTTCATCGAAATCTTGGGGCTGGGAGGTTGTGAATAGGTCATGAAAATAATCTGCAGCCACTTTTTCCAGCCCATGTTCGGTTTTTACCCAGGCACCCGAGGCGTTTTTTGAGCCTAATTAGCTCTTCGTTTCTTCGTCGTGGCATGAAAGACTTTTGTGTTCCTATCTCCTTCCTTTAGCTAGATTGCTCGACTTTTTTGTTTCCAGTAGAGTTCCTCTTCTCGGAAGGCTTCGCAAAGATTCTACTTCAGATCTAACAGCATCTCATTTGAAATAGAGTCATCTTGTTGAGCTAGTTCCAGTTTTTCCTTTATCTCCTCATTCTTTTTTCTCGCATTAGACGGGTTTAGTCGATTCCAAGATGAGAGCGCCCTTCTGCAATTCCCAATCTTGGCATACATATCTGGGATACTAGAGCCAGCAGAAGTGCCCCAACCCTCTATGATTGTTTCTAATAAGCCCTCTTTTCCCAGCCATCTCTTATCAAATTTAAAGTTCCTTTTGACCCTGCTTTTGCGGGATAGGATACGAGCTAACACCGGCCGATGATCAGAACCCCAAAGTTTCAGATACTCCACATTCGTGTGGGAGAAGAGGTGATGCCATTCCCCGTTACCTATAGCTCTGTCAAGCTTACATCGAACTCTGTCACTCCTTCTATTTCCGACCCAGGAAAAGGAGTTACCTTTTATTGGAAATTCCACCTTTCCGGTGTCTTCAAGCATAGTATTGAAAGGTAAGAAAGATGCATCTGGGCGTTTCCGCCCTCCTCGTTTATCATGATGGCCTATAATTTCATTGAAACCCCCACTCATAAACCATGGCCCCTTCCTCGTGGTACTTATCCTTGTAATCTGTTCCCATACCATCTCACGGCACTTACTGACCGGATCACCATAGATAAAAGTCATAAATAATTTTTGTCTTTCTATCACAGCTTTAACGTCAATTAGACGATTATTTACAAATAAAATCTTAACATCTAAAAATCCATATAAAAAAGTGCTAGTCCACCGTTAGTATCTTCCGGTTCTATAGTGAACAATTTATTATAACCAAAAGAAAGCTGAAAGTCTTGCATAAAAGAAAAAGAATTTTTTGTTTCAGAAAGAAAAAGTAAAGCAGAAGAAAAACAGTGGTGCAGCTCTCTAAGGTATTGTTTCGTCAGATAAGCGTCTACACCTTGACAATTCCATGAAATTGTATTCATATTCTCTTATTGGGTGGTTTCCGGGACACCACCGAACCTGAAACAGAAAAATTCTTCTTACTTAAAGCAGAAGGAAACACCTCAATTCGAGGGACAACTGGGGATTGGAAATGTTACTTGATCCCTGTTTTTTTTCTGGCGAGCCACGTCCTTTGGTACTTTGTTGCATCTTTGATGCTCCCCTGCCTTTAGTTTTAGGGCTTTGCATGACCCTCCTCTTACTTCCAGACCCAGACGTGATGCTCTTAGTGACCTGTCTTTTAATCTTGTCACCTGAACGAGCAGGGAGTTTCTTTGATGATCGATATTTTCCCCATCTGGCTTTAAGATATGTGATGGAGTGAGCTGTGATATAGTCGGGATTTTCTCCGCTTCATCTTCAAGTTCCTCTCCCAGGAGGTCATCGTTGTCCAGCTCTTCTTCATCCATGTCAAGAAGGTTCTCTTCCACTACCATCTTATCAAACTCCTCCAGTTCTTTATCCGTCATCGATGGTAATGGGGTTAAATCTTTGCCGATCCTCTGATTCCAGAACCATGTCAACCTCCATATTCTCAGTAATCACCAGACTTTTCTCCTGCGGATCCATCCTCCTTGTCGATGTTGGAGTATCGTGCAGTATAGGTTCCCTTATCACCAGGGTCCCCAGTTTTTTCAGGTACCCATAGTGAACCAGATTAGTGTTTCGAGTCGTCGGTTCCTTGACATGGGCTTTTCTTTTGAGACGTCGCAGTTTGTCATGCTCTGTTTCAGTCCTATCTCCTTCTTCCGTTATGTTTCTCTGGGGGCTCCCAATTTTTAGACCTCCAACTTGGTCCAAGATTGTTAGCTGCGAGTCCGAGACATCTCGAGACTCCATTTTGGCATGTGTTAAGCTCCGAGGTGAAACTCTTTTTCAGACTGGCGCGACATCTCTTCTTCTCTGTTCTCTTTCGATTTTGGTCTCCAGATTGCTCTCTGTTTTGCAGGTTCGTTTCTCTTTTTGTGCCTCTCTAACTCATATGTGGGTTGAGGATCTCTTGTCTCGCGATATCGCGGATACTTTTCTCCGAGAGGTTTATCAATTCTCCTCCACAGCTCCTTACTCCGAGCATTTCTCTTTTCACTGAGGTTCCTCCGAAGATCCATCTCCAAACTCGAGGGGTTACGGTTTTGGTGCTAGTATTGATTCTCAATAGTTCTTCCCCTTTAATCACTCTCGCGTATCACTTCCTGGGTTGCTCCCGAGTTTAACTTCCCGAGTTTATTGGGTTGATACTCTCTTGTACGTCTTGCGTACTTTCCATCATCCCCTGTTCCTCGGGTGGGGTCTCTTGCAGCAGCATACGGGAATATATCCCCATGTTCATTCCTCTGCGGAGATCTCGTACGTTTCAGAGAGTCCCTTTGTCCGTTTTGGATTTGCATCCTCGTCGTACTCTTATCCTCGATAGGCTCTTTGTTCTCCTCGAAACTCCTTCTTTCTTTCGCATGGATTTCAGGGCACAAGCTGATCTCATGCGAGATATGCTTGCATTTGAAGCAGAATCTATGGAGTCCCTCATACTCAAAGGTTATTTTCCCAACATCTCCATTCGGGAAGCCCACACGTCGTTCAAACTGCAGAGGTTCATTGACGTTAGTTGAAACTTGAAGACGTGCATTCTCCACCTCTGTTTTGAGGACCCTTCCCAGCGCTTTACCAATAGCTTTGAATGTCTCATCATTCCAGTAGTGCACCGGGACCCCTGTTACTCGCAACCAAAAAGGCATCGTGTATGGGAAATCTTCTCTAGTCGATGGTTCCCATCTCTCCAGTGCAAAGATCCAGCGGTTAAAATGGCATGGGGGTTTGGCAAGGACTTTCAGCAGATCTTCCTCTGTTTCGAAGTCGAATTGGAATCTGCCATTTCCCAGGTTTGTGCCCTTTACCCTCTCTTTTACATCCCAGATCCGAGCTCTCGGGAGTTGGGTTATGAGAGCCTCTGTACTTTGCCCATCACGGTAAAACATTCTCCCGATAAGAGTCCTTTCGAAACGTTCAGCCACAGCCACCAGATCGCACGCTGGAATTCTGATAATATCATCTTCTGGAAGCTCTAGCCGGCGTCTTGTTTGCATCAAAGTTCCCCCTTTATGCATCATCCTTGCTTAAGAGGTCAAACCGTATTGTTCTGGAAGCGCGATACCTTGGGGCGGGAGCAAAGGATGTCTTTTTCTCGTCGATACCAAACAGCACGTAGTACAGGACTAGAGTTTGGTATCGTTCTAACACCGGATATTGTCTACTACAAACCAACGTAGCAATTGCTAGAGATAACGCCAGAGAAACAGGGTGAAAACAGAAAAAAAAGAAGAACTCCGGCCAAAATCCAAACTAACAGGTCAAATAAAACCAAGGATTCCGATGAGTTCTCACGTAAGAGTAACGTCACAAGAGGGCTCTGAGAATCAGTATACCTAACTTGCAAGACACTTTGTGAGGGAGCTCCGAGATCCGCCGTTTGATTTGGTACGAAGTGAACATCCTTTTTTCTTTGTTATAAAAAAAAAAGTTTTCTTTGTTTAAATTCAGTGAGACTTAAAAAGAATAGAGTTTTAAGAAAATTAGTCTCCTGATGTGTTAGGAAGAGGGATGTTGAGATGTTAATCATTTATGAGACACAAGTGCGTCTTTGTATAATAGAAATTGCGTAAACAAAATTGAACAATATAGGCATGTGAGTTCTTCTCTCTTATTCTCCGCTTTGTCTGTTGCAATTTTCCTCTCCGTGAATTCGATTCGTTCTATTTCTAGCAACCTTATCTGTTTGCTTAATGATTAATCTATCCCAAGCTGTCGATTTTCTTCCTTGAGATTATTCTTTGCGAAAGAGCCAGAGCATGTGATGAAGCTGAGAGATGGATCAGTGCTTGGGAAGAAGACGATTCTTAAAAGTGACCATTTTCCAAGTTTTCAGAACAAGCGCATGTCTCCTCAGATCAAGGCGCTCCCAATTACCGTCAGGTCTCTCTCCCATTCCCTGGCATTTTGATTTTTTTTTGGTTCGCAATTGTTATTTGGATGTTGATTTTGATTCGAGTTGTGAGATTGAGACGAATAGGACTAACCATCCACTTTGATGGTGGTGAAAGATTTTGGAATCCTCTCTTCTCACATTCGGATCGTCATACTCTTTTGCTTATAAGTTAGCACGATCAAATCATTTCCCTTCAATCTCTCATCAAATCGGTTATTCCCTTTTTTGTGTCAATTAAAGTGGATATTTACAAGTAGGCCAGCACTTAAGCGTTATGTTAGAGTGATGAGTGCCTACTACTTGGTATGTATTCTTCCACGTTTCAAATGATCATGTTGAAGTTGTATTTTTATTCATGTGTTTGACTTGGAGAGTTTAGGCGGCAAGGCAACTTGAGTTTTTCAAAGGAAGAAGTTAGAAGGGTCTGAATACAGATTTGTTAGCAGATGTCCTGGCAATTGCTCAACATCATGACGCTATTTCTGCTACATCAAAACAGCACGTGGCTGATGATTATGCAAAAAGACAAACAATAGGCGATGTGGAGGCAATTTACCAAATTGTTGTGTCGATTTTGGTTTTATAAAATGGGCCTGTTTGCTCTATATGTATGTCAATAAGATCTGTTGACCTTGCAGGCTGGATGGAAGCGGGTGGACATTGTCCGGCTTCCTGTGAGTCGATCAAGTTCTTGTTCGTGGAAAGTACTTTTATGTGTTAACAAATATGTGATGAATCTTTCATAAGTTGTGAGTGAAACATTGCGGTGTGTGACTCCAAGGGACACGAAGTTGAGTCTCAACTCATTCCATTTACGGATGAGTATGCGGCCTTAAGGAACTATCATGTAGAGACATATTTAGGTCACACCCCTACACAGATGCCAAAATACTGGCTTGTGTTTTGGGTTTTTGTGCCTCCTGCTAAGAAAACAGGTACAATAGTAGAGACACGTCTATTTGGTATAATGGAACAAGCTTATCACTATCACTTTCTGTTTCCTAATTTAGGTGGATATTCTAGCAAATAATAATTTAGGTGGATATTCAAGCAAATCATATGTCTCCAGATATTTTTGAGATGGAGAAAGATCAATAATTTTGTCTGGATTGCAATCGACATGAGACGGCCAGAAGGAGATTTGAGAAGAAGGTTTTTTGGTTTGTATTGTGGATGTATGTGTTGTTTTGAAAGTGTGAGTTTTTATATTTTTTGTCCCACGGAATATAATTATTTACTGTGAGTTATTTTGTTATAAGCTTTATTAACAGTGAACTTTTATATATGTGGTCCAACAAAAGTGAATCATTTTGAGTGTGCAAATATATGACATTTTACGTAAAAAAATCTTTAGAAAAGAAGCTTGAATACTGTTGACGTGTCAATGTTGATTGGTCCACATCAGCATATTCATTAAATACAAAATATTAAATATGATTAGAACGGAAAAAACTTGATTTAGTTGGTCCACATCAGCTTTTAAATAAAAATAAAAATTATTAAGTATAATTAAAACATTAAAAGTTCATTTAACAAATTATGTCCAACAAAAAAAGTAAATTTAATTTGATTGATCCAAATCAATATATTTATTATATCAGAAAATGTTAATATGGTTTAAAAATTTAAAAGTTAAATAAAAAAATAAACAATTAACAATACATGTATAAAAAAAGTAACTATTATCAATTATCAATTTTAAAAAAATCTACAACAACTCGATTTAACAATTAAAACAATGAAAACTGTATAAAAATATAACATAAAACTCTTGGAAGACATGATGGAGAAGGGAAAAATGGTTTTGCATAATCATTACAGCTTCCTAACAAAATTAAATGTGAATCAACATGAATCATGGATTATATATGCAGTGGTACACAACATCAATACGACTTTCAATAAAAAAAACTAAATATTTGAACACATAAACTTTCAAGAAAAAAAGAACTATAAAAATTCTATGGAAAACAGAAAATAGTACCAAAATTTTAGCAAGATTATATTTCTCAAAATCAAATATATATGTACGTCAAAGTTGAATAATTCTATAGGTGTCATTGTTATTATTTTACCTAATATTTTTTAAAATTTATAAATAAAAATAGGATAAATTACACAATATATATTAAATTATCTTATATAAATGAAATTTTTTATAAATATATTATATTTTTAATAATTTTAAAGATAGTAGCTAAAAAAAATTAAACCAAAATATTAATACAGACTCGCACGAGTTATATACCTAGTTTCATATATAATTGAACTAACAACTATAAGTTTTCCTTATACTTAATTTAAAACAGTTTTTTCATTTTAAATAAAAAGAAAATAACTTATCAAACATATGACTACAACTGAAGCACCTGATTATTGTTCTAATTAATTTGGATTTCTTTTCATTTCAATTGTGTTCGTGTAGTGTATTTTTTCATTAGAAGTCTCAAAGACAATACAACAATCAATGTTCAAAACTCTTACAAATCTATAAAAAAAACTATTGTTCATATAAAAAACAACATTTACATAGTATAAAAAATCATAATTATATTGATAAACTGAAATTTTGATTTGGTTCCTGAAGCATCTGTAAAATATAGAAGTGTAGATGAATAAAGCAAGTAATATATATGTATATATATATATGTACAAATTCATACTAACTCATTCTATTATACAAAATTTGTCGAGTTTCTTAAAACTCAAAAAGTAAAGAAGCTCTACTTTTATGTAATATATTAATGTTTAATGTATAGTTTTGATGTTCTAATTTTTCTGTAAATGTATTGCATGTATTTTTTCATAATAAGTAATTTATTAATAAATTCTTGTAATTTATTTTTTGTCAAGACAATAGACAGTTTTGTATCCATATATATAAAATGCAGTTGTGTTAATTTCAAAAACAAATATTTATTGTTATGAATATACTATGTATGTTTCTAAAAGATGAAAGTTTTAGATTTTTATAAATTGTGAATGTTTTAAATTTTGTTTTAGAAATTAATTTTTGTAACCTTGTTTCTATTAACTATGATTTAAGCTTTATTAGAGCAATTTATTTTCTAAACTAATCATTATATTACAACCAAAAATAATATCTATTAATATTATAGATTTAAATGATTTTTATTTTATTTATTTAAAAATAATATTTTAATTTTATTTAGTTTTTGTTAATAAATATATTAGTTTTATTAATTTATGTGTATTTCAAAAAATCTAAAATAAAAGTTTTTTTATTATCGTTTTCTTACTAATGTGTCAAAAAGAAAGAGTAGTTTACAAAATCTGATGTAGCTAGCCTCTAGAGCCCGAAACAGCTATTTTTATTTAGTATAGAATTCATATGATAAAATGGCAAGGAAGGCTTTGGAGGAAGGTATTGGCTCGTCTTAGAAGAATTTGGACAACCTTATATCAACAAGTTGGGTGATGTTGTGAACTCATACACAACTTTAACAAAGCTTTTTGTGTAGCGTGTGATTCATGAATTTATCAATCATTTTGCCGTGTGAAGACAAAGATTTCTCTTGAATATTGTGATACGTTTTTTAGTCGGTCGATACAATCTAGAGTCAGAAAATAAGAAATCATATTTTGTGCCTATTTAACGAGTGTGGTATTGTTGTTCGTTTAACTTTGAAATTCAAAATTATAATAAATAATGGTTATGCATTCAATACATTAATAAATATAGTTTTATTCATATAAACACATTTTGACCATCCCAAATATTTATTTTAGTAATAAATCCCAATAATTTATTAGATCACCATTGAACTCTTGTTCTATTTTTCCTTCATTGTTTATTTTCCATCATTTTGTTTTTTGTTTTTTTGCAGGAGCGGTATTTGAACTGCTCATTTCTCCTTGATCTGTTTGTTTTGGATTTGTCGGAACTGTCTCAAAATGATCTGTATATCTATTGTCACAAGTTGAATACATAAGTACAAAATTTTAGTATTTATAAAACTATCACAATAACATGAATTGTAACAAACTTTTATGATATGGTGAATTAATTAACATATCTATAATTTAGATTATAATGCAATTTTTAATATATTATTCTTTTAATTATAATATATATAAAAATCCTTTAAACTATCATTATTCAGAAAAATATTAGTTCAACATATATTTTAAGAAAATGAATAACTAAAAAAATTAATTTAGAAAAAAACAAAGACTTACATTATTGACAAAATGAATCTGGTATTATCCCAATATAATTTTATGTTATCACCAGTTTTGAGACCTTTTGCTTTTCTTAGTTTTGTCCATCCGGTTCTGAACTGATATTTACCACTGCTATGACTAAGTGTAACATTATGCATAACTTCCACTGGAATACCTTGTTTAGGCATTGTTATTTTCATTTTTTCTAAAATGTTTACTTTTGGTAAATTCAACACACCGTCGCTAGAAAGATCAAAATCTGTTAATTTTTTTACTATCGTCATATCTGGATCCATTATACTAAACTTTTAACAAATTTAAGAATGTAATTGAGAATTTTTGTTTATAAAATAAATTATTTGAGGAGTTTGAAGATCTCAACCCATATATTTATATATAGCTATCGACCAAAATCATGTTTCTTATCTTCTTTGTTTGTATTGATAATATCAATGCTCTTAAATAAAAAATTCTAAATTTGGTTATTTGCAAGATTGTGTTTTCTAAGTTGGCATATGTTATTTTTCTAAATTTTTAATTTTATAAGTTTAATTAATTATTTTTTCCTATTATGCTCAATTGTATTTATACCAGCCTTGATATTTTTAGTTCTTAAAAAGATATTCCTTCATACATTCTAAACTTTTAACAATTTTAATAATGTAATTAATAAATATAAAATTAAATTTAATAATGAATATGATTATTTTAAACATTTCTTTTGAAATTTAAAACACAATTAACAACAAAAAATCTAGTTATTAATACACAATGTGATTTTTACAAGTATTTGTTACTCAAATTGAAAATCACAATAAAAATTATTTTCTCATACAGTAAGTATTTCAATGTTGTCAAAAGCTAAGTTACATAGAAGCTTTGTCCGAGGTGCGTTTCGTGTTTGGAAACGTTTCGAAAATTAAAACTCTCAAAAACTCGTTGGAAATATGGAAAACCATGTTTTCTAAAACATTTCAGTAAACATGATGGAAACAAATTTCCATTTTGGAAACACAATGAAAACTTACTATTATTTTTTATAATAAATAAATTAACAATTATAAAAGTGAGTAAGTGATCAAAAATCATTTCTAGAAAAGTTAATTATTAGTTTAATCCATTATAATAAGTTAATAATTGTTTTGATTCTATTAGATGAGATTAATATTGGTATTATTGAGTTTATTTTTTCTAATCAATTAGAATTGAATGGTAATGGCACCAATTAAAATGAAATTGAAGAAAATCTTCTAATATTTGATTTAAACGTTATAACTTTTTTATGTTAAGGTATATAATTTAAATCTTTTTAATGTTTCTATTCGTATATTTTTTAATCGTGTTTCGAAACATTCCATTTTGGTTTCTATGTAACCTAAGTCAAAAGATTCAAAACTCAAAATTATGTTAATCACTAGTTGACAAAAAAGTATGTTAATCACTAAAAATGAAAAATTATTCATATTATAATAATAAATTAAATATATTAAGAGTTTATTGGCACATGATCATTAATGGACATAAAATAACCAAATGGCCCAACAATTTCTTGTTAAAAAAAATCATTTGGATAATGTGTTGAACTCTTTTTTATATGCAACACATAATAAAGTAGGATTCTATTTTCAAATAAGTTAAAGTTTTATGTAGTATTTTTTTCTTCTAAATTTTTACTCTTGCTACATTTGTGTAGCTTAAACTAGTTACAATTTATAAATTTAATATTTTTTTGACTTACCTTTTACTCCTTTTCTTTTAAAATTGATTATTTATTTTCTTAAACAGATCTGTTGAGCAGATATGCAATATAAATTAACTGATATAATAGTATTTTGTAGTGTTTAACTTAAACTTATAAGACAAGATTTCATCATATAAAAGGTATTACTAAATTTTCTTAAATTTTGTATCACTAGGTTTTGATCCGCGTATTGTGCGAAATTATTTATTAATCTACTTTTATACTTTATACTTTATATATTTATATTATTATTTTATTTATTTTGAGTCTAGTTTATATGGTTTTGTAGTTGTTTTTCTATAGTTTTAAGTTTTGTTTTTTACAAAATTATAAATATTTTTATAGTTTTTTATTGTCCTA